ATGGGGGACTCGATCCCAGGACCCTGGGATTGTGACCTGAGCCGAAGGCAGACGCTTTACTATCTGAGCCACCCAGGCGCCCTAGATGACATTCTTTGTTTAAAACAGCATGGGCACTAAGTGGGGCGCGCTCTAACAGAAACAGATTAAAAGGTAAGAATTGCAGGGTCCTAATAGGACCTACCACTTTCTCGGCTCTGATACCTGTTAAAGAGCTGAGGATGCTGTTTCTAGGTTACTTGAGGATTTTTTCCCAGCTCTTCACTTAGAATGACTATTAGGTCATAAATAGAACTCAGCTCCATTTCTGCTTTTTTGATGCCTTCAGAGACTCATTTTCTATATTCTACAGTGAAAAGAGGTGGCTTTTTGAAGAAAAGATGGAGTGAGAAAAAATAGGGTAAAGCCTGAATCAACCCGCCTGGATATAAAAGACTTTTGTCATAAATGAGGGATGTTTCAGCAGCACCAAGAGCAGATATGAGTGGCCATCTCTCTTTCTCTCTCTCTCTCTCTCTCTCTGTGTGTGTGTGTGTGTGTGTATGAGAGTTTAGAAGGAATTATCTTTCCAGCATGTCCAGACATGTAAGTGGGATGACAAGACCAAGTGTGGAGCTGACAACTCACTTATGAAAGGTTAAAACATTAGAATTTTTGTTCCCAGGGTCTCCTGCTGAGCCCAAACTAACCCAGATGCTACAAAAGACACTATTTGTAATTCCAAAAATCTTTTCTTTATATGATTTCTCATTAAGTATTCTTTCTAATCCTATTTTAGGCTCAATTTCTATTTTTTAAAAATCAGTGAAACAACTGATCCTGGAGAAACCAGTTGTGGCAGGGAGCAATGGGTGGTGTTGGAAAGAAGTGATCCCACTATGTTGGTGGTAGGTAGGGTGGGGTGTGAGACCAGGAAAACCTAGACCTGAGTGCTTTCACTATGCTGCACAGTATGTAATATTCTTGGGGGCCCTGGACCAGGAGGGCATTGGGTGAGCAGAGGTCAACAGAATCCTCCTGATGAAGGATTAATTATTCAGGCATCTAGATTCCTGAAGAGCCGGAAACATGTATTCTTGAGTGATGCCTACTTCTGGCTGCTGCCTCCCTTTCCCACAAGTCTCACATATACCTTCTCCAGGTGTTCCAAACCCTGGGTAAGCGGTCATGTTATTCTGTTTCACAAGAGCGTGGGGTTATCTCAAGTACAAACTCAGCACTGAACAGACACTTGATTGATGTTTATGCTGTTTAACTGTGATCGGGACACAGTGTGGAAGGGATAATGGTTTCAAACTGACCCTAGTCCTCAGACCATGTCTAAGAATCCTGCAAATCATCTTGATTTAGCTGCCTCTTCTACCTTCAGGAAGGCATGTGCTCAAACCATAGAAGACAAGTAGTCCTGAATTATATGCATAAAGTTAGGGGTGTTTGGTTAAAAAAAACCCCATAAAATCTGAATGTAGAAATAGAAACCAATGGTAATGCCATACAATATTGGATTCTTCCCTGTCTTGGTGCTTCACTGTTTCTAAAGAAGGCTGATACTTTTGTTTGCTCACCTTTCCCCACTATTTTAGGAGAGGCATGGACATTCTGAGAGTAAGTGAAGAGGCTTTGGCTTAAGAAACCATTGCCCAAAGAAACCCCATCTCAAACTGAGTTTTGGCTTAGTTTCCAAATCCCCAGTGTCCCCCACCCCTTACCCTGTCATCTACAGATTCGGTAAAAGAAATGTTTCCACAAATCGTTAATCTAGTTGGAGCCTTGACCCAATGTATGGCTAGTAGCTTTAACAGCTTGAGGAATTATGCAGTATTACTTGGCTAAGTTTGATCTTACTTTTTAGTCCACGAACTCTTCAAACCGTAACAATGGGATGAAATAATGGATGTCACAGAAAAAACTAAATGGATTTGATATTATCCACAGTTGGAGGCAGGTGTCTGCTGTTTGCTACTGTTAACCTCCCTGATCCCTTCCATCCCAAGCTATATACAGTGATTGAATCAATTGCTTCTTTAGTGCTTTAATGGCTGATTCTTTCCCTAGGAACATCTAACCAGCTGTTTGATAGTTTAGAATGAACCGGGTTGTGAGGTTTCTATTCATTGCTATACTTGAAAATCTTGGCTGCTCCCTCCAACACTCTCTAGACTTGCCCCTTGGATTTGAAGGGAAATGCATTGTTCTGAGTGGAAGACCCTACTTCTCCAATTTCCATGAAAACTATAGCTTCCTAGGCTGGTTCAAATCCAGTGGCATCAAAGCAGCACCATGCAGATTGAATAGGTTAGACTTCTAGGGGTTTTCAGACTCCAGCTTGGGCGTCAGAATCACCTGGGAAGCCTTTCAAAATGCAGATACTGGGGCCTAACTTTGGAACTTCTCATTCAGTGGCTTGGAGGGAAGTCTGGGCATCTTTATATCTAGAAAGCTCCATGTTTTATACTAAAGTACATTGAGATTTGAGAGTCTATGGGTTTAGAGATACGGGCTCAGAGGCAAGAAGGAGGAATGCTGAAGGGGGCAGGAAATAAGAGGGAAAGAGAAGAAGGAGGAAAGGAAGAAATGGCCATAGAAAGGTCAAAGCAATTAGAGAAATTGTCTGAAAGCAGGAGCATTGGGCTGGGAAGTGCTTCCACCACGAATACCCAAATATGAGGGTGTTTCAGCTTTAGGGGTGTGTGTGCGTGCGTGTGTGTGTGTGTGTATGTGCACATACACACACACACACACACGCACGTACGCACACACAATATGGCCGTTTGGGGAAGGTGCTGGGAAAATCAGAGAGACATGTCCCATGAGCCTGGGATTGTTGCTTCACCTCTGACACTTTTTCCATTCCCAGCCTGAGCTCTATCACACACCCCCCAGGGGAGAAAGCACAACACAGCTGCTGCAAATTGGTAGTTGCAGTTGTGTGCTTCTTCTCATTCCCCACTCTGGCTGTCATTATGACAGTATTTCTTCGGGTCACATCTGGCTGGTGGGGTATCAATGACTTATGGTGGGGGAGAGGGAGGGAGTGAGGAAGAAAGATCACAAAAATACATCAGGGCCAGCAGCAAAGTAAATTATACCTATTCCCCCAGCCCTACACCCACCCACCCATTGCCACCCTGCCCTCGATTTGCTGCCATGGAAGGCATTCCCATAGCAACTTAAAGCATGGGTTTGAAGCTCATGTGATGAGGCTCTGAAGCATAGTTTCATATGATGATATGTTTTATGACCCATAGCAGAAACTGCCCATGTGCAGAAGGGCATTTCTGCACATGGATATAGCCAGAGGGATCTACCCAAGGTAGAAGGACCACTGGGGAATTTGATCAGCTTTGCTAAGTGAAATAAATTTGCCTAAGCATAGTACATTCAATTCCCTCTTTTCCACTTAGAAATTATTCAACACCAGTTTTGTCGAGCATGGGCCTAAAAAAGGTTTTCCAGTGTTTCATTTTAATTTGAGGGAGAGGTGACTTGACCTTTGTCTTCTTTTCAAAGTATCACAACATAGCAACTCTACCATGGCCCGGTTCCAGTTGTACCACCATTATTCGGTTTAGATTTACTGTTTCTCTAGACTGAGCTTTTCAGTCTGAACTGGATGTTATTTATGTCTGAATCCTGTACCTAGGAGCTTCCCTGGCATGCAAGCAATGCTCAATAAATGTTTGCTGGGTACAAGGTTTTCAGGCAAGTTTCAAGTAGTCATTTGCAGAGAGGTATGCACTTCATAGCAACACTGGGTTTCAGCATGTTGACCCAAACATAAAAACTGGAAAAAGAGGATTTTTGAATCAAGAGGACATGGTTCTTGCGAAAAAAAAATATTAAAAGATACAATACCCTGTATCACATCTCTGTGTTGTAACAAAACTCTTCTGATTTTAGGAAGAAGTCAATACCTCTCTTGGCATCAGTTCCTTTCTATCTGGCAGCTCTGTTCAATGGGAAGCCACTCGTTTCCCTCTCCCTCTTCCCTGCTTTAGTGTGTAGACACTATTCCCCAGGCAGACTCTTAGACTGTTTTCAGCATGGCCAAATAAATTTGACTATTTGCAAAACTCTGGGTGAGATGGTATTTTCAAGACTGGCAACAAGCATTTTGCACCCAAATGCTGGAGAACAACACTGGATTCTGGCAAGTCATTCCTCATGCTCAAGTAGGAGATCCTACAAAGAATTATATTTTCTGGAGCTTTTACAAATAATGGACTTGACTCTGCCAGAATGGAGACAGCGCAAATATGGTGTGTATATCTGCGTATCCCATAGGCAGAAATCTGGCACTTTGACAGCTTCTGGATAATAAAAGGGGCATCTTGAAGGGAAAAGAAGATTTACCATTGACTGGTTGACACTTAGGAAGTGGTATTCCTAAATATGCGTCACATAACCAGCAGAGTGTTTTGTTAGCAGCGAAAATGATGGCAATGTATTTGTCTGATGGACTATTCTAAAATGATAAAGTAGGGTTAACATGAGAAATAGAAATATAATAGCATGCCATAATGCTAACAATTCAATAAAAATGGCTTCTTGTTAGAAGACCAGGCTGACTTTTCTCCTTAGCCCTAAAAATTAATAACTGTGCTCTCTAGCTCTCTTTCAGGGACAGATGCAAGACAAGGATGAGAACAGAAGAAACTCTACAGTTTCTACAGGAAGGGGAGTTGGATAGAATCCTTGTGTCGGGTTTGGCCAGCTCATTCATAGAGCATCAGCTGCGTGCCCATATTTCTCACTACAGTAGGACAAACTTAAAGATGACATTTCTCTTAGGCTGGTGGGCGGACAGAGAGACTCATTAGGGTGCAAATTTCATGCTTTGTTTCTCAGGAAAGACCTGGAAGAAATCAAAGACATTCATCAACTATTCCATCAAGGTGTGTATGTGACCACAAAGTCATGGGGAGGGTGGAAAAGGGAGCTATTGAGGAAGTTTCACAGCCTTCTGGACTCCCTGCCTCTGCCCATCTCAAGCTACGTACCCAGTACAGCACGTCTGTCCAGCCCTCCATGGTGATGCACTGGAACACCGTCAACATGGCGAAGGCAAAATTGTCGAAGTTGGTGATGCCGTGCTTGGGCCCGTCCCACCCGGGCTTGCACACAGTGCCGTTCTGACACTGCCGCCCATGGCCTGTCTCCAGAGCACAAGGGGAAGGATCATCTTCTGCTGGTACATCTTGAATGACCAGGGGAAAAGAGAAGGCAGTGGAGGGGATGGAGAGAGATGGGCAGAGAAAGAAGGAGAGAGAAGTCAGAGAGAAAACTGATAGGATAAGGTCGATGGGCTAGGCAAAACAACCACAGCAACAATAATGCAGAACAAGTTTTCATTTGTTCCCCCCAGAGATGCATTAAACAACATAAGGAACTAGGTATTCATTTTAGGCTGCCATTGATTTAGAAGGTCAGTACTTCCAACTAATTGTAAAACTGTATTTTAACCTCAGTAATTGATTTCAAAGACAGTAAGGCTATTGCACATTCTGCTGAAACATGTTGGCATCATGGTCAAATGGCCAATTAAAAGCTAATGATGATGCAACCACTCCAAGTGGAAAATATCCTGGAAAGTGATAGGAAGTCTACCTTTTCTTTTTTTGGTGATAAAGTATCTATGGATGCTTCCATTGGAATACCAGAGTTTAGGGTGAGGGCTATATTGATTGGAAGAGACTTCCACATAATTAGCCAACAAATCCCATTCAGTAACACTTTCTCCATTACGTGTTACAGGATACATTACCAGAGATACAAGTCATTTTATAGTGGAAGCCTTATGTTGATAAAGGACAAAAAATAAATTCTGACCATAGGGGGAATGTATCAACCACAGTGGTCTTGATTACAACCCTTGAGCATAAACACTGTTGACTGTCATGTGGAAGCTTGTGGCACTGCTCTTTGGTCTCCAGCATTAATACCTTTCAGAAGAGAAGAATCCTTTTCTGACCTCTAATCAAGACAGAGCGCAGTGGGTGACAGGGAGAATACTCCCTATGTATGGACAGGGCTTTTTCAGGAAACCGTATAACATACCTACTGTGGCTACAGACAGTGCTTGGGCTAATTCCACACACTGGGAAGAGCTACTAGAAAATTAATAATTAAGATGTAGCTTATATGTTTGGTGTGGACATCATTGGTAAATGGAAATAGGACTAGACTGATCTAGGGATGCCTGAGTGGCTCAGTCAGTTAAGTGTCTGCCTTCAGCTCAGGTCATGATCTCAGGGTCCTGGGATTGAGCACCACATCGCATGGGGCTCCCTGCTCAGCAGGGAGTCTGCTTCTCCGTCTCCCTCTCCCTCCTCCCCCCAGCTTGTGTGTGCTCTCTCTCTCTCTCTCTCTCTAATAAATAAATAAAATCCTTAAAAAAAAAAACTAGACTGATCTAAGAATTCCAATTATGGTAAAATACGAGTAATCTTGAGCCAGCTGTGGAAGGTAACAGTTTCAAATTCACAGAAGTTTGTAAAATTAAGGACATTGTCTTATGCTTGTAGAAGGTAACAGTAATAAACAGATAGACTTCAGTCATAACAAACAAATGATTGCCTTTAACAATAGTGAAAATATGCCCCCAGATAGAGAATTTACTTATAGTTCTTCATTTGGAGATAACAGGTCACCCAGGGGCTTTTCTTGCTTCATATGCATCACAACAATTACAAGTGTCTAGTACCTCTGTATTTAAGACTACTGGTTGGTTGGCTCCTTCTCAGTGGCTTCAAATTTGAAACTGTTTACTCCAAAGAGGAAGATAGGAAGAGGAATATTAATCCTAACTAGGAGACAGTTCTTACAAGAATGGAACTGAGCAGTATGGTTGGAAATACATGCTGGAGTGTGTCTTCTTGGCTTTTTTTCTTTTTTCTCTCTTAACAGCTTTATTGAAATATAATTTACATGTCTTACAATTCATCAATGTAAATGTACAGCTCAATTATTTTTAGTAAATTTATATAGTTGTACAGCTATCACCACAATCCATTTTAAAACATGTCCATCATCCTCCCAAATTCCTGTGTGCCTATTTGCAGTCAATCCGAGCTCCTCTCCCCAGCCCCTAGCCACTTGATCTATACTCTATCTCTAAAGCTTTGCCTTTCCAGAAATTTCATATAAATAGAATCATACAATATGTGGCTTTTTGTGTCCCTCTTCTTTCACTTAGCATAATGTTTTTGAGGTTCATCTGTGTTGTTGCACATATCAGTATAGTATATTCGTTTTTGTTGCCAAGCACTGCATTTCACTGTATGTCTATCTATTCACCAGCTGATGGACATTTGGATTGTTTCCAGGTTTGAGCTATTGTGAACAGTGCTGCTTCCTGGCTTATTCTTGGCTTGGTGCTTCAGGTTGTGTGTGAGTCTTTGTGTGATGACCAAGGTGTAAAGGTCTGCATCACTGGTCCCTGAACTGTTTGAGGGAATGACAGTGTCCACACCATTTCCTGACTCCAGGGTCTGGCTCCCAGTAGGGCTCTGCTTCTGGAACTGAACTCTAGCCAATTTTTTGTGACTTTTGAATTTTTGAAGTCTTTGGAAATTTGGATGTGAGTTTAAACAATGGGAGGCTATTAAAAGAGGGGAACTAAAAAGTCAATCCCAACCCTAAGGAATTCATAAAAAAGTGGGTAACAAACACCTAAAAAATTGAGAGACCGGGAAACCAAGAACTAAACAGATCATACATTCTGTTGGGTTTCTCACCCGTTCTGATGATGGCTTTCTACTGTGATGTGTTCAATCACTGTGATAAAAGTGCTGGAATGATATAGGAGATGGGAGAAAAAGAGGTGAAAAAACAGAGGGACAACTTGCATTTCTTTTTCTCCTGTTTTGCCTTCTAGTGAATAAAGATGCTGTTACTCTTTGCATTGTGACTGCTCATCAGACAGTCTTCCCTGTGTTCTCTATTCCTGAAACAGGCAAAAATAAGGAAAAAGTGAAGGTCGCCAAAGTGAATTCTGAGTGTCCTCAAGGAAGAAAAACATCTTTTGGGGTTTTACAAAAAAATATATGTTGAAAAGAAAATGGCATCAAGGGGAAGTGATCTCATTAATAATAATAATAAAAAAAGGGATGGGGTTCAGAGAGATTATCTAAAGGCTCAAGCGCCACTGCTATTTTAAACTATCTTGAACAACAATAAAAAAAGATTTGAGAACAATTAGGAAGCAATGATGATCTGGTAAAAATAGGTATCTATAAAAAGCACTAAAGGGAACACTTGAAAAATGTGAACACACACATATTAGCCGGTCCTTGCGACATGCACTTGAGGGTGGGGGGAAATTAGTTTGAACATGAAGATTGTGTTGGTTTTCTTCTGCAGAGTCATGAAGTCCCAGGGAGGAAAGCAGGAACAAAAGTAGGAGAAAGAAACAAAGATGTGGGCCCTATGCCTTAAAACAGAAGTGAAGTAGAATCATTCTGGAAAGTCCAAATTAAGTTTGTGGTAAAAGAATGGAGGCGAAGATTAGGAGAGATGTTAGAAACGCAGTTAATACCAACAAGAACATGAAATCCTGGGAGAGTGCCAGTTAGGGGTTCCAAGGAGAAATCACCAAAGACAAAAACAATTGCTTTTTTAGGACCCAACTTTAAGAAGTGAATACAATGAGAATGATTTCATTTCTAGGTTTGAGCCAACCAATTCTTTGTCAGTCTCAGGGGTAATTAGTGTGCTTGGGAGAGTGATTCACAGTGGCCTGGCTCAGAGGGCCATCAAATGGACAGGACAGCCAGAAACAAAAGGTGCCGGCATATGGTGATGTATCTGGTGAGGAACTAGGAAGGCGCCTTGCAGATGCCTCTGGGATTGCAGAAAAATTGCCTCTTCAGAGACCACCTCTACAGGGAGCTGGAAGGGCAGCCTAGAGGCTGAATAATGGTCCACCCAGCCAGCTCCAGAGCTTTCTCTATCCAAAACATGGCTCAAAATCCAATGTGTCCTACAATCTACAAGCACATAAAATTCCCAGCCCGAGAAATAATCTTAGAGTGCAAAAAGAAGAATTTGCTCTAAATTCCATTAAAAAATTATGACAAGGGCTCACAAGCACTTTTGTATAATTTAAATTTGCAGAAAAATATGGTAATTCAATCCAAAGTCTAAACTTAAAAAAATACCACCCATTCCAAAGGTGGTATAAAACTCTCCAAAACACATGGGGGTTGGTTTCAAAGATTGCAGGTTTTTGGTTTTCTTCTCTATGGCTGCATGGAGTATGTCCAGATTCCCATACGTTTTTTTTTTTTCCCTTCTCATTAGTTTTAGTCACTATGTAGGTGGAAGAGGCCCTGATGACTGTGGTACATGTTCTGTTGGGAGTGATGGAGTGGGTCCCTGGATTTGTCATCAGATGGCAGATTTAGGAAGGAGGAGCTACATGAGCTCCTGATTGCAGAGTGTTGAGTGAAAAGGTTTCTACAGCCAGGTGTCCTCAGACCCTCTTTGGAGCAGGGAGCCTGGCTCCACACGGAGTGAGGTCACCTTCCTGGTGGGGCTGGCATGGCTCCTCTCTCCGGAACACTTCTCACAGTGTCTGTCCTCTGACACCCTGGCTCCCCGGGCTGATGGTCATTTTCACCATGGCAGCTAACTTCCCTTCTGACTTGTGGGGTGAAGGTAAAACCCACCACTAAATAATCTGATGCATCTTCTGGTAGGAAGCAGGCGACGTCTCAAGTATTTTTCCTAGTCCTGTTTTTTTTTTTTTTTTTTTTTTTAATCAAGGATGGAAAACAATATGGCTCAAAATGGTTCTAAAGAGGCCACTTCAACTGGTGAGTCCAGTTCTGGTCTTTATCCTAACAGTGCGGAGGCCACTCTAAGTGTTGGCAGGCTGTTGGTGGCTCTTTCACCACAATGTGCAGCTGTGGTCCAGAGAAGAGCATCCCATCTTGTGTCTCCTTTGTTTATCATGCCCACCATTTTCTTGCCAGTTGAGGCCACTGCAGGTCTGACAACAAAGCCCAGTGACTTCCAACGTTCAGGGTTGCTTGTTAGCATAGGCCCTTAGAGGATCTTGCTACCAGTGACAAACATACTTTTACTGTTTTCCCAGCAGGATGATAGAAACCACGTGCAGCTCTGGGAGCAGTGCTCCTTAGGTAAGTGGTGCACAGACCTTTGGTGGCAGGGTAGGTTTGCTATCATTAGCTCTATGGCAGAATTTCACCATTTCATTCTCCCCCTGCACCTTGGTATGCTATTGGTGAGAGCCACACCATCACACATACCCACTCTTGGGGTCTTTGACACTCAACCTCCCTTTTACTATCTGAGGAGTTTGGGTCTAAAGAGTCACTGATCATTTCAATACAACTGCATAAACTTGACAGATAAACAGTCCATCTCTTAAGTGGGACTTAGAATGAGCTCTAACAAAGCTACCCAATTAACATAAATTTATTGGTTCAGGGCTGGCTACAGACTAAACTGAATAAAAAGAAGGATTTGAATTCAAGGGTAAAATACTATTCATGGCATTTTTTGGTATTCCTCTAAGCAAAGCTGGAAATCTCAGAATTTTAGCTAAAGGCAAGATCTGTTCCAATATTAAAGAGCTTCTTTTTTTTTTTTAATATGACAGTTTATGTAATTATGACCCAAATAATTAGGAAGTTCTCTCCAGAGTGAAAAAATGGTCTCTTAAACAGACTCTTTATCAAAAAAGTAAAAACAATTGTGTGAGTCTGTGATTATGGGTTTATAGTTTTTTGTTTGTTTGTTTTAGGACTATGGTCATGTAGTGGTGATCTAGAAACTACAAATACCCAGTCAATCCACCCAGTTAAACCAGATCATCCAGATCAGGTACTCTATTTTGGTTTCTGAATATGAATAATCAATGTCACTCCTTGTTGTGTAGCTCTGTCCCTCCTCACCATCCTAAAGCAAAAGGGGTCAAATTTAATTTAATGCCTGGGCTGAATGGGAAGGAGAAGCAGTACAGATGGAGAGAAATGAGGTATCTTTTAAAACTTCAGACCTTTCTCCACCAAGAAGCCAAAAACCAAGATGAAAGATCTTGTTGGAAAAAACAATCACATAAATTTAACACTTCTAACCCCTTTGGGGGGAAGTATTTTTTTCAACAAGTTTTTATGTTAAACTACTTTATGCGTCTGTTTAAAAGTTTTGTCAATTCCTGTTTAAATGATTTTTTTTTTAAAGGTGCCGCTGAGATTTTAGCAACCTAAGACAACAGTTTGTAGTGTATCCCACGAGCCAAAACTTTGGTCCTATTCAGAGAAGTGCTTACTGGGTCAGCATTGCTTGCTAAATATATTGACTTATGGAAGGACCATAGGGAGAGAAGTCTCAACAGGCCACCCCGCCCCATGACAGGGGGCCAGGAGGTTCTGCCTATGAAGGGAGAAGCAGAAAACCCTGAGCACAGAGGAGCCAAGATCAGCCCTGAAGGGTAGACAGAACCCAACGTTGTGACGGAGGTATCTACTGGCTACAGGCAAAGCTGACTTCCTGAAAGGGAAGCGACAATTGACACTGAAGGACCATGGAACAGAGATACACACCCTCACTATGTCAGTTCTGATTCTTAAATTAAAATACTCCAGGTTGTCTAGGTGATGTTTCTTGATTCACACAGCTCATTTAAACTGTTTAGTAGTGCTGGACGGGAACTTGCATTTAGCTGTTTTGATAGAGATTTATTGTACTAGAAAAAAATTAACCAAGCGGAAAAGAATACCAATCCCTGCCTCTCACTTATCCATGGACTGAAAAGATGAGTACTTGAATGGAGGAGGCCTTCCCTAGTACCACTGGTCATGTGGTGGCAGTTCAGACCATTATAAGGAAAGTAGCAATGAGACAGGGAAGCTTCTTGAGAGCTGGCCACTCGCATCTTCCCTTACCTGCTATGCCCTCCTGGTTGTAGCAGGTCTTATGCATCTTCCCCATGAAGAGCTCCAGGCCGATGATAGCATAGATGATGATGACAAACAGCACTAGCAGGGCAATATGCAGCAGGGGCACCATGGCCTTGATAATGGAATTCAGAACCACCTGGAGACCTACAATGACAAAATCAGATAGTAATAGTGAGCACATCAGCTTCCATTTATTGAACCAAGTGCTATCCTGGATGCCATACTGACATAATCTCATGCAATCTTCTTAGCAACTCTACCAGTGATGTATCACAAGCCCCATTTTTTAGATGAGGAAAGTGAGGCTTAAAGTCACACAGTGAGCCAGTGACAAAGCCGGGATTGACATCTAGGTTGGCCTGACTCCAAATCTTTCTTGGAGGCACATCCAAATGAAAGGACTGGCAGATGCTGTGCTTCTAAGGGGAAGAACGTATTGTTTTATCCAGACTATCCAACTTTCTAATATCCTGTCTTGGAGACAACCTAGCAGCTTTTTGTCCTAGACCAGCATCTCACTATAGTGAGAGAGAGTTAACTCTGACTAGAGATAGCCCTGCAAGGACTTGCTTATCACTCAAGGTGGGATTCCTAGAGCCGATGCCTGACCCATCTGCTAGAAAACACAAATCTGGTTGCTAGGCATCTGGGAGTGTGGGACTTCCTTTGTTGAAACTGATTCAAACCCCCAGGATACACGTAGGTGGGGAGACCTCTGTGGGACCATCTCTCCAGAGATTACGTGAGTGGACCTCTCTTCCTACAGATTTCTGACCAGGCCCCTTTCCCTCAGTGCCCAAATCTGAAGAACATTACAGCCTTCCATTCAAAAACCCCAATGAAGGGAGTTCATGTTTAATGCATGTGTACTTTCCATTTGGGAAGATGAAAAATTTCCAGAGATGGATAATGGTGATGGTCGCACAATGTGAATATACTTAGTGCCACTGAACCATACACTTAAAATAGTTATAATGGCAAAGTTTGATATGGATACATTACCACAATAAAAACTGAAAGTACCCAGATCCTGTCAAGAAAAAAAAGTAAATGAAAAATCCTATTTAGCACATGGGTCTTGTCAGTGCTCCCAAAAGTGTAGGCTTGTACTGCTGTCTTATGGGAAAAAGCACCCCCTAACTTATTTTTTTTTCCTGCTTTCTTTTTTTTTCTTACGTTTTTAAAAATTTAATTAAAAAAATTTTTTTTTCAAGATTTCAGGACATGTTTAATTTATAGTTATAGGCAGGGCTAATAGGTCTAGAATAAACTCCCCTGATGTCTTCAGACAGCATTTGGAAATGACAGTATGTTTATTTACACTTTACTTTAAAAATAGTTTCTTGGTCAAATTGTTCATCATCTAAGAATGTCTCAAGAAAAGACTGTGTGTTAGGATAAGGATAGTTGGAGGAACTGTAAGTAAAACAGAATTTTTTATTCTTTTTTTAAAAAATTTAAATTCAATTAACATATAATGTATTATTTGTTTCAGGGGTACAGGTCTGTGATTCATAAGTCTGATATAATATCCAGTGCTCATTACAACACATACGCTCCCCAATGTCCATCACCCAGCCACCCCATCCCTCCACCCCCATTCCCTCCAGCAACCCTCAGTTTGTTTCCTATGATTAAGAATCTCTTGTGGTCTGTCTCCCTCTCTGGTTTTGTCCTGTTTCCTTTTTCCCTCCCTTCCCTATGATCCTCTGCCTTGTTTCTTAAATTCCACATATCAGTGAGATCATACAATAATTGCCTTTCTCTGATTGACTTATTTCACTTAGCATAATACCCTCTAGTTCCATCCACGTCATTGCAAATGGCAAGATTTCATTTTTTTTTTTTTGATGGCTGTGTAATAGGACCCCTTAACTTATAAGCTCAACCATCAATGACAACAAGAATTCTCTTTGTTTAAAAGGGATGTTACAAGTTTTCATTTGCAAAATGGTGGAGAGTTGCCAGCAAGTCACCCCCAGATTACACCCAGTTCCAAGAAAGCTTTCTGGCAACAGTGAGTACACCAAGTCTTCATGTCCTAGGAGAGAAGCAGGGGGAAGGGCAGGTTCTCCTTCCTTATATCTAGGCCAGTTGTGCAGAAAATCTTGTGACCACCTTTGACATACAAATGATAGGACACCCACCTGTGCATCATACCACACAAGGTGCTTTTAGTGTCTCCACCTGATGTACCCACCCAGCTGTAGACACCCTTCAACTGCCCTGTGCATTGGGAGTTTCACCTTCATATTCACCCACAGCCCTCCCTCTGTACTGGATAAACAAAGTCTGGGTCACCCTCTCCCCAGGCCCCAAGGCAGCCATTGGTGTTTTGTGATTTGGTGGAGTGATTTTCACAAGGCTAATTAGAGGAATTCTCCCCAGTTATTAAGCTAAGATGGGGAGAGGGAAAAAAATTAAAAGAAGAGAAAAGCTGGAATAATTTTACCTGTGAATTAATGAGAGTGCTTTGCAGCCTCCCATTAGAACAAGATGTTTTCAGATCCAAACGATTTCATTAATTAGCAAGTTGTACACACATTAGTGCTAAAGTATGCGAAGCCATGGAGGAAGTTGAAAACTGAACTGCAAAGCAAGTTTCAGAGATGTCTGCTGGCGGGTGGGAGGGGGGTGGCGCCCTAAGTGCTACTCACTGAAGGGGAGGGAGGCCTCCCAATCCTGCCCACCCAGACCATCAGCGAGCCTTGTTATCAGGCCTTCGGTGCCATAGCCTGCGGTGGTGAGAAAGTGGTGGGAGACAAAAATGGGAACCTCTCCTCTGTGCCACGGCCAGAGGTTCTGCTCTTAAAGACCAGAGTCCTTCTCGTGCCCTTCAAAGTGTGGCACAAGGGCTGGACCCCTATCTACTTCTCTGTCCACTCCCATCCCCTGCCCCTCACTCTCTGCATTCCTAGTCAAAACAGCTTTTCTTTTAGCTTCAAATATGCCATACTGGCAGACCTCGGAGATCTTGAGGGTTCGGTTCCAGACCACGGCAATGAAAGGCATATTGCGTTAAAGCAACTCAAATGCATGTTTTGCTTTCCCAGGGCATGTAAAAGCTATGTTTACATGATGCTGGAGTCTATTAAGTGTGCAATAGCATTATCTCTAAAAAACCAACATATACACCTTAATTTAAAAATACTTTATTGCTAAACAATGCTGAGCATTGTTTAATAAACCATCATAATAAATAAACCATCATCTGAGCTTTCAGTGAGTCATAATCACTGATTACAGATCACCATAACAAATAAAGTAATAAAAAAAGTTTGCAATATTGTGAGAATTATCCAAGTGTGACACAGAGACACAAAGTGAGCAAATGTTGCCGGGAAAATGGCTTGATAGACTTGCTGGACACAGGATTGCTGCAAACCTTCAATTTGTAAAAAAAAAGATGCAGCATTTGCAAGCACAATAATATGAAGTGCAATAAAGCGAGGTATGCCTGCACCTCCTCCTCCACAGGGCTGTGAAGCATGCTGTTCCCTTGGCTGGAAGTCTTTCCCACGGTTCCCTCCTACTTATCCTTCAGCTAGGATGTGAATGGACAGGTGAGTTGGACAGGTGAGTTTCAGGGGCCAGCAAACTCAGGTGGAGACTACTGAGTGGGCTATAGAGAGGTCAAAAAGAAGCCACAGCAGCCCGTGGGCTTCCTTCCAGCCATCAGGGATGCCATCAGAGTTCTGAAGTAATGCTCTGTTCCCCTGTCCCTATCTCAGCAGGAGGCTGTACCACCCACCTGAGCACCCAGGCCAGAAACCTGATTTCTGAAGCTCTTCCCTCTAACTGGTTATCAAGTCACGCAGTTTGATTTTGAAGTGTCTTCAGACAGGAATGAATTATTTTTACTATATAAATAACAGGAAAAATCATGTATTATAGGGAAAATAGAATATCATAGAGAAAATAGAAAATACTTATGACAGAGAAATTACAAAACATGGGAAGCAAAAAGAAGAAGGAAATCATCCCTTATTCCACCACCCAGAGCTAACCACTGTTAGCCTCTGGCATATATTTTGGACATTTTGGTTTATGACTTGTTTTCCTCTTCTTTGTCCTCTTGGTGTTCTTCATTCAGTTAATGGTCTCTTTATGTCCAGTTTTGCCCGATCTTCTTGCTGTGGTTAGAAAGCTCATGCTAAAGCACAAACCAGAACCTGTTGCCCCTCTGATGAAAAGTCCTTCGATGACCCTCATCACCTACAGGTAAAACCCACCTGCCTCCTTTTGTAGTTTCATCACATCTGATTCCAGTTTATATTTTACATTCCAGGAATATACTGAATTGTCTGAAGTTCTCTAGCTTCATGCCTCCACTGTTCCACCTGTCTAGAATGCCATTCCCTGCAGCCTCATCGCATCTTCTCATCTTTGTATCTCAGCACATAGTAGTGACTCAATGCACACGGAGCTAAATCACATGTGTAAGCACAGGCTGCCTTAGAAAACAGAAACCATAATGATCTGACAATACAACTTCAGTTTCTTCTAAAGATTATTGAAGAAACTGAAGTTGTATTGTCAGGAAAAGATAAGACTCATGGAATGGGAAAAGCACAGGCAGGGAGGGTTATATCAGTGACTTTCACATTATTTAAACTGCTATTTTGAGGAAGAGGAGTTAGATGAGTTTGATGTAACCATATGGATGGAACCGGGACTAACTAGGAAGTTTCCAGGAAAGATTTAGATTCAATAGAAATGAAAACTATCAAAAAACCAGACCTATCTGAAGGTGGAATGGGATGTTTTAAGAGGTAGTGGAATAGCCAAATTATGGAAAAGAGCCCAGATGTCCATGGACAGATGAATGGATAAAGAAGATGTAGTATATATCTATATCTATATCGATCTATCTATCTATATCTATATATACGATGGAATATTACTCAGCCATCAAAAAGAATGAAATCTTGCCATTTGCAACAACATGGAAGGAACTAGAGGGTATCATGCTTGGTGAAATAAGTCAGCCAGAAAAAGACAAATACCATATGATTTCACTCATCTGTGGAATTTAAGAAACAAAACAGGTGAACATAGGGGAAGGGAAGGAAAAATAAAATAAGATGAAATCAGAGAGGGAGACAAACCATAAGAGACTCTTAACTCTAGGAAACAAACTGAGG